AAGTGATTCTAAGTTCAGGCATTGTGACCTCTATACCGTAAGTTAAACTAGGTAAACAAATGGCGAAGTACTACACCTTAAATTATTCGTCCGGGCCTTGGCGACGGTAGAGTCTAAGAAGATCCCACGGACCCAACCGCTGGTGTACCTGGGTAACTGGCGGACCAACACCTGGAGGAAAAGGGAGGTAGAAAGACAAACAAGAGGTTGAAACCACACAGGGGTGAGAATATTTCTGACTACCGTGTGGGAAAAGTGCACACACACTGAACAAGAGTGTATCTATGATATATCTCCGCGTAGGAGAGGAAACACTCACAACGGTGGAGTAGTCTAAACACAGCAACACTGAGAGATGCATCCCAGGGTGGGTGTGTAGTATTAATTCTAGTTCCGTCCCTCACTATCAAGAGACCCGGAACCGTTCTCATCCTGAGTTCCCTGGGACCCGGGACCCCACCCCTTCAGGCGATATGAAGGCAGTATATGCAGGACCTAGGGAGCCCACCTGGAGCTCTGCTAAGGCTAGGCTCGTCTCAAACCAGCCAGTGATAAGACACGTAGGACACATCTAAACCCCTATGACGTTGTGGCGCTGGAACTGGGAAACCACCCCGCCATAGGTGAGGGTCAGGAGGTAAGCAGGTGATGTCCCAGGACCAACATCCTAATCCCACCTATATCTGTAAGCAGTTCCTGTGTACAGACCACATGAATGCAAATATTGAGGACAACGTGTCACCCTGTAAATAAAAAGATATCAGTGTGAACAGGTCTTAATTGCGTGGGGAGGGGAAGTCCTCGGTAGACAAGGTTATCAGGGTCTTAACTTGAGGGTACAGAGTCTCGAGATTCGTGTCGGCTGTCCTCTCTGAGAGTTTACAGAAGAGAGACAAGGTCAGGACCAGCAGTCAGCTCATCAGGGGAGATGTATCAGGCCTCCGGATCCATGGGGTGGGCTCTCCGTGACGGTCGTGTTGCAGATCGCTGACGACTTCTGCGACGTCTCAAGGGCCTCCCAGATCTGGCGGATGAGGATGAAGTAGAATCCAAGGAAGGAACCTCCAACCAATCTGGCAGCAGTAGGTCTTCGCATTCCAGAAAGACGTTCAATTCCGGCACCTGGCGAGGGTGAACCAGCCTGAAGAAGTGGTCCCCTCTACCAATTAGAAGTGAGAAGGGGAAACCCCACCTGTAGGTGATCCCTTTAACTTGCAGTAGATCAGTGAGGGGTTTCAAGAGACGTCTGCGGTATAGGGTCTGGGGGCATACGTCAGGAAGGATCAGGACCTCCGCTCCATCAAAATCCACCGTCCCCTGTCTCCATGCTCTCCGCAGTATCTCCTCTTTGATGTTAAAAAAGTGTACTCTGCACAAGACGTCTCTGGGTCTGTTGGTATCAGCCCCCATAGGACCCAAGGACCTGTGTACACGGTCTAGCTCAATCTGCTCCGTAGGGGGTCTGTCCAGTAGGGAATTGAATATGGCCGTGACCGCCCCTCTCAACTCAGGTCCCCCTGTGGCCTCTGGGATTCCCCGTAACCGCAAGTTGTTGCGGCGGTTACGGTTTTCTGAGTCCTCCAGCCGCAGCTGCATCTGGGCCATATGGGTCTGTTGGTGTAGGATGGAGGCCTCCAGGCATGCCACCTTGTTCTCCAGGGTCCTATCTGCATCCTCCAGCACCTCCAGTCTCCTCACATTCCGCTCCACCCCCGCACGTACCTCAGCCAGGTCCGATCCGAGTGATGACGCCAGCTGATCGATCATCCCCTGCATGTCGGCCCGCGTCGGGAGAGCTGCTAGGAGAGACCGGAGCTCTGGGTCTACTCCTAGGCCCGAGC